ATGCCTGTACGACGAAGCGTTACGAAAATTTAGTACGTCATTTTCACGCACAGGGTGTAACAGTGCGCCAACACGGACTGGCAAATAAACCGAATACACATCCAAAGTCATTTAAACCGGCTGACATCGAAAAAGCTGTTAAATTCGTCGAGTCTATAGCCGATTTTATGGCTCTTCCACTGCCCGGACGACTCCCAAAATTTAAGGATTTTCGGATAATGAAACTGCCATCCAGCGAGACGAAGTCCTCAATTTATCGAAAATACATTTCTTCACTCAGTGATGACGAATTGAAGATGAGTAATTGCAGTTTTCGACGGATATGGTCCAAATACATACCCCATGTTACAGTTATGAAACCAGCGGATGATCTCTGCGATGTCTGCCGTGGTAAGTAGCTCATTATTTTCTCATTTTATAGTTGTATCAAACGTTGAGATTAAATTCAGTATTTTTTCTTTTAATAGGAAACACAATATCGATTGCGCAAGCCAAAGGTGTTACTGACATTGAACGCACACAGAAGCTTAATCAATTCCTTGATCACCTCCACCGAGCCCGAAATCAACGAGAATATTATCAAAGTTGGTGTAGAAATACTGACCCTACAGCAGTCGTTCTGTCATTTGATTTTGCCCAAACCGTTCACTACCCTGTCAGTCCACAACAACCTGGTACAGCATACTTCAAAGCAACCAAGAAGTGCGGAGTCTTCGGAATTACAGACGAAAAACAAAAAGTTCAGGTTAGAATTTCAAACTGAATCATAAGAACTCAAATTGCTGGCCTTTACAGGATCTTACTTATATTTTTTTTTTTTTACAGTACAATTACATGATAGACGAAAAAGATGACGTTGGTAAAGGACCTAACTGTGTTGTGAGCATCCTGCATTATCACCTGCAAACCTATTATAAAGACATTGAAACACTCGTTCTTTTCTGTGACAATTGTGTTGGGCAGAATAAGAATAACACTGTACTATCATATCTGCAATGGTGTTTGGCTCGGGGTCTTAACAAAACTATTTTATTCAATTTTCTACTTACCGGGCACACTAAGTTCGCGCCTGATCGTTACTTCGGTATTTTCAAAAGTAAGTATGCCGTCAGTAACATCGACACGTATGCAGATTTACTGCAGTGTGTCGAGGCATCATCACCTGGGGGTTATAATAAAGCTGTATCGGCTGAAAAAGTCGTCTGGTATGAATGGGACAGCTATTTTAAACCACTGTACAAGTCACTTGTTGGAATAACGCAATTCCATCATTTCATAATCTCTACAGATTG